AATATACTTTTCAATAACGAATAATTATGTCATAATTATCATCTCTTTTCTATTTGTAGCGGGAAAATGTCGAGAGGAACGACGTTTGTCGAATCGTGAATTCTGTTTCGCTTCCACGTTTTCGAAACGAGAGCAGCATTGTCATGAAGGTTTCTAGCAAAACAAGATTGTCCAAGCCTGATTCAATTATCATCCGTATTCTTTTATCAGTCGTTCTACAAATATACGATATTTTTCTATAAATATACATCGATACGTTACATATGATGAATCGCCGGGTGAAATTCATTGTTGAAACTAAATCGATTGCGGCTTCAATACATCGCGTGCAATACCGAAACGTAAGATGCTGAGGCTTTCATGACCTAAAAATAATTTCCTTGTGTAGATAAGAAAAATATCACGCGATAAAAATGTGCTAAAGCATATGTATTCTTCGTAATCCGAACGTTATATAACTTTATACAAGATTAATATTACATACACATTAGCACATTGTTAATAATACTTCTAACAAAAGGCGTAGACTGTGATATTCGTGCGTGTCCGAATACGGATCGTAACGAGTATATTTTTGTCAACATAAATATCAACAAGAATACATTTCTTTATAATTGAAATAATCGCACATCTAACACGTGGAATATAAATCTTACACTTGTGAAGCCTTCTAGAGTCAAATCCATGACGTTCCCAGCAGTGATCGTCAAACGTTTCTGAGATCTCACGATGACCAATAGTAAAATTCGATATTCTTTAATGGAAAGATCGTACCAAAGTGTCTCGTACGCCGCATCGCCGATGGACCTACTCTAAGAAAGAAGAAAGAGCAGATTAAAACAATGTACAAGAGGCAATCTCGACAAACTGGCTGCTCCATTTTATTATAAATACTTGCGAAAAATGCATAAAGATATATCTTAATTAAATCACAAGAATTAAAGAATATTTTTATCCAATAACAGTCCTACTTGATAAAAGACATTCGAGTTTAAGATTCAAAATTACAAATCTTTTGATTGACAATTTGTAATTATGAATATTCTACATTGGGAATTTAAATCCCCGATTTAAAGAACTGCTCAAAGCAAACGAGTCGTGCTAACCTTGGTGCTCAGATATTCGCCGGCGAAACAGAATACGAAAGCTTCTAACGTTACCGCGAGATATGGAAAGATGGATTGTATCAATATTCCGGATTTGCCGTCCATGTCCGTGCCTAAAGACTGCGTGACAATCCGTCAAATTATTTTACCGGAATTACTTATATAGTATTGCACGTGCGAAGCGCCTCGAAAACTCAAAACTTCAAGCGTAAAGCGTACAGGATAACGTATTCTTGAAATGATTTTATTATTTTAAATCTCACCCGAATATGTCAGTAAAATTATTTAGAGCAACTCGCGTATTTCTGATCGTCTTCTTGCTGTCATTCCATTTGTGAATATCGCATCGCAAAATAATTGAAATGAAAACGCGAAATATCAACATTCCGCGTGGTTTCAAGGAAGACTCTTCCTCCCTAAGGAGCTTCGCTCTCTGCCATTGCGAACAAAGCGGCTTTACTCACTATCACGATCATAAATCCTATGGTGCAGATCACTAAGGTGTTCCACAAGAACTGTATCATCGCGACAAACGAGAAGAACTTATCAATGTTACTCGACAGAGATATAATCCGCTGATGCCTCGCGATGAGCGATTTCGTGACGGACGGATGAGACTTTCTCGTAGCGGAAATTTCTCTCAAGTCTTGGCACATGATATCGATCTGCCCACTCACATGAAGCACCTCGAAATAGAAACTGCGATGTCTCAGAGAACGCGAATTTTTGTCACTCGACCGATCGTAGGCCATCTTCATCGGCGTGCCATTCAATTCATCCATAGCAAGTTTTTCACCCAAATTAAGTAAATTTTATTTGAACAATTTACTTGGAAAATATTTTACTTGGATCAAATAAATATTACATATCTTGATTCAAGTATAAAATATTTCCTAAGAAATGCATTCGTATATATTTAGTTGATCCGAGTAAAAAATTTGTTGAGGAGTATTGGAGTAATTATTTACTTGAATCCAGCACTTCTTCCGTGCGACGATATTCTCGTCCGGCGACTTACCAATGACAAAATCAAGGAATTCAACATCGCGATCACCACCGCCGTCTCCCACACGTGCAAGAACGAGCCCAGGACGATAACCTCGAAGATCGGTGATTTGGTGGCGTTAAACGGGAGCTGCATCTGCACCGGGAACTCCCGCGGCTCACCACCCGCGGAAGCCGCGCGGTGACTTACGTAATTGCCGACGAAGTAGAACACAACCGACAAGGTATTGAGAGTCATCATCGCGTTGGAGCAGCGGTGCGCCAGACTGGCCTTGCTCGTCATCACGCACGCGT